ACCCAAGGATAATTAGCTAAAAGTTCAAATTTCCTAAATATATTAAATATATATAGTAAAATCTAACTACATGCATAACTACTGGTACCGTATTCTTGTTTGGGTGCAGTCACACCATGCATATCTCGTGTGACACACACCCCTGTTACCAGGGTACGTGTAACCCCGTTACAATGCAGGACGGGCTCAACAAGCTGATGTCCTTGCTTGGCCCTGGGGCGTGCAACACCTTGTAGCGCAAGGTCCCGAGGCAATCGGTGCGCGTCTAGAGGTGTTTTCAAGTTATGAAGACGCGCTGCTAGAGCACCTGCAACAGAAGATGTCTGCATCATTTGAGTCTATGACGCCACCGTCTTTACTCTTGATCAAGAAGGTAGACGACAATGTGAGAATATTTTTCAACGAACCTCTAGCATATCAGATGAATTGCAATTTCTAAAGAGACTAGCAAGCTTAAGCGTGCAACCTCACAATGGTCTCACTGATACATTGAATTTGTAAGCCCATACCCTACATCTTATCGAGAAAATAAACGGTATTACTATAAATATCAATTTCTGTTCACTCACAATTAGGCGCGTCTTTCAGCGCACAAATTATCCAGTTGGACACTCAGTTTACAACTTTGAATACATTGGCACGCTATAATCGGATGGTACCAAAAATTGACCATCACACTGTCTTTGGGCCTTAACCAATCGCGAGTCATATTGGCACATATTTTTCATCAATAACAATGCTCCTAATTTCTACCAGAAAACGCCCCCCTCCCAGTCCTACCACTTGCAAATTCTCCCCTTTGTGGTGAAAGAGCAGTCGTGATCAGAGTGTTGGTCAGGAACCTGTCATTGGAAGCGTCTTTGTTTTCAACTTTTAGTTCTTACAATCTCAAGTTGTTGAGAGTCGCGAATTTTAATTATGGCGTCGACCCAATTTTCCTACTCAAGCGCGCGTCTCCGCCGCGTTAAGTACCTCCAGTTTGGTGTATTTAGCCCTGAGGAAATCCGTGCCATGTCGGTGACGAAGCAAACGAAGGTCAATGACCGCATTATTCCGGATGGCATTTCACGTCCAGAAACATATCTAAACGGACATCCGGTCATTGGTGGCATTGGTGATCCGCGCATGGGCACGTGCGACTTCCGCGCGCGCTGCAAGACTTGCGATTGTACGATGAATGTTGAAGTTTAAAGATAGAGCATCCTTACTTCAGTTTGCTAATCAGATTCTCTCCTTTCTCACATGCACTATTGCTGTTCACTCACATAGGCACGTACAGCGGCAGCGGTGGTAAAGTCAACGATTGTCCAGGACACTTTGGCCACATTGAATTGGCCCGACCTATGTTTCACATGGGTTTCATCAAGGAGGTGCTTAAAATTTTGCGTTCGGTGTGTTTTCATTGCTCTAAAGTACTAAGCGACGAGCGTGACCACCGCTTTCGATCGGCCATGAAAATTAAAAACGGTAAACGTCGCTTGAAGGCTGTGTACGAGATTTGTAGCAATAAGAGCATGTGTGAGTACGGTGAAGAAGCCGACATGGAGAAGATGCGTGAGGACTTAAACATCGGCTTACAGGGGGGGTTAGACGATAAATCGAAGCCAAAAGAGGGTGGGCACGGCGGTTGCGGTGGTCTTCAACCTAAGTATCGCAAACAGGGTATTAAATTGCTGGTGGAATTTCCTGAGCAGATGGAGGATGTGCCTGGATCGGGAGATCGTAAACAGAACCTGCCGGCTGCTAAGGTATTGTCAATTTTTAAGAATATTTCCGATGAGGACTGTCATGCTCTGGGTCTGGACCCGCGCTGGGCCCGTCCTGACTGGCTCATCATGACTTTGATGCCAGTGCCACCGCCACACGTCCGACCTTCTGTGGCTATCGATGGTATGGCGCGGGGTGAAGATGATCTGACGCACAATTTGGCTTCAATCGTGAAGGCGAACCTGGCTCTGTTGAATTGCGTGCGTAAAGGCGAACCATCTCATATTATCGAACAGTTTGAACAATTGTTGCAGTTCCATCTCGCGACTTTTCTTAATAATGAGCAACCTGGTCTCCCGCAAGCTCAGCAGCGCTCTGGTAAACCACTCAAAACTCTGCGACAGCGCTTGCGCGGTAAGGAGGGACGCATTCGTGGTAATTTAATGGGTAAACGTGTAGACTTCTCTGCGCGTACGGTCATTACCGCTGATCCTAACCTTGCGATTGACCAAGTCGGTGTTCCTCGGTCAATTGCAATGAATCTCACTGTTCCTGAGCGTGTGACACCGTTCAACATGAACTACATGCACCAGTTGATTGCAAATGGTCCATTGGAGCATCCTGGTGCCAAGTATATTATCCGTGAAGACGGAAATCGAATTGATCTGCGTTACATCAAGAACAAGTCAGATCTTGCTTTAAAGTGTGGGTGGATTGTCGAGCGTCATCTACGGGACGATGACTTGGTATTGTTTAATCGTCAACCTTCATTGCACAAGATGTCAATTATGTCGCACCGTGTAAAGGTGTTTGATTGGTCGACCTTTCGCCTTAATCTGTCTGTAACGTCACCATACAACGCTGATTTTGATGGAGACGAAATGAATTTACACGTACCGCAATCAATGACTGCTCGTGCCGATGCACAAGAGCTGATGATGGTGCATAAAGTAATAATTACCCCCCAAAGCAATCGTCCAGTGATGGGTATTGTGCAGGATTCTCTTTTAGGAGCTCAGAAGTTTACGAAGCGAGATATCTTTGTGAACAAGGACTGGGTTATGAATTTACTTATGTGGGTATCTAATTGGGATGGAAAAGTTCCGACACCTGCCATTTTGGTACCGAAAAAGGGTGAACTAGGTAAGTATACGCCAATTTGGACAGGAAAGCAATTATTTTCTGCTATCATTCCGGCTATCAACTTCACCGGTTTCTCGTCGACGCACAAGAGTAGCGAGAAGTTTTCGGATTTGTCTCCAATTGACTCTCGCGTTATCATTCAGCAGGGTGAGTTATTGGCAGGTATTATCGACAAGAAGATTATCGGTTCATCTGCTGGTGGATTAATTCATATTACGATGCTCGAGAAGGGTCCGGATGAAACAAAGCGTCTTCTTGGTGCTATTCAGCAGCTGGTAAACAATTGGTTGGTTGGCCGTAGTTTCACTGTCGGCGTGAGTGACACAATCGCTGATGTGTCTACGCTTAAGACAATTGTGGATATCATCACACAAGCTAAGGTGCAAGTGCACGATTTGGTGGTGCGAGGACAGAAGGGA